GGGTGGGGAGTGCTCTGTCCTGAAGTTGGGCGAGAAAACCTGACGCAGGAGATGCTGAAAGGTGTCCACTCGAGGCCCCTGCACTCCCCACCTGGGGGAGAGGGGACGTCACCTCTCAGGCGGCTGCAAAGAATGGACCTCATCCAACCCAAGATGCCATTCGAGTCCCCATCATTTTAGGGACCATGAAGGGCAAAAACACTGCTGATAAATCAGGATAAACCATCCATTGTTAGACATGGCACAGCTTTGGGTATATTAAAGTGTGGAAACACATTTGCATCACAGATGAAATACAGCCAGAGTCCAGGGGGCAGCCCCCCTCTCTTAGCCAGGGTCCCCTGGCCCACACCTTCCCTGGGAAGGAAGGATGAGGGTTCGCCAGGACCCACAGGCCTCCGCTCCCACTAGTGCCAGGTGTCTGTGTGAGGAGAGGAGAGGGCGCTGTCAACCAGAGGACTGGGGAGCGAGAAGGGTACTCTGTCAGTAGAACGTGGAAAGCTACTGCCACCCACAGAGCCTGCAGGTAACAAAGCCACAGCCCAGCCCTGCCTGTCAGCCCCTGGCCACTGATTTAGGTCACAGAGGCTTGGGATCGGAGTGGCCTTTCCTAACCCCCTCCCCATTCCTCAGCTCCCTGTGTTCAGAGACGGACTCACCAAGGAATGGAGGGGGAGAGGGAGAGAGGAAGAGGGGGTGTAGAGGCCTGACACCTGGAGCTGTCAGCACCCAGGCACGGAGGTGGGATGATGTGGGAGGGGCCACGAGGCCCAGGGCCCAGGAGAACCCAATGGAGGAGCATGGCTGCAGCCCAGGGAATTAGGGAGCCTGCGGGGGAGGGGTGTGGGCATCTGTGCCAGGGCTGCCACAGACCCCTTTACCCTCCCGGAGGGAGTGCCAGCCACTGACAGCACCCAGCTGAGCCCCTCTCCTCTGTGAGTGCTCTTGGCTGAAGGGAACCTCCTCTCTCAAGGTCACCCCATTTCCTGGGGCAGCTTGCATGCAGTGACCAGGAAGTGCACAGCGTAAAAGACACTCCCGTCGCCCCCGTGCGACCTGGTGCAGGTGCTGTGGATGGAGCCCAGGCAGTGGGGCCGGGACATTTGGTAGGTGACACAGCTGCTGGGGGACCACGTTTACTGGGAGTGCAGGCCCCCTTCCGATGTGCAGAGGAAAGCACATCTGAACTCCAGAAAAGGCCGGCTTGGCCCCCTTGTAAGTCTGTATCTGAATGCATGTATGCGAACATGAATGCATGTTGCACATCCATGTGTGTGCATGGAGATCTGAGAAGGCTTATGTGTGCTTACACCTGGGATGTAACATGCTGTTATGAGTGTGCATGGATGAGTGTGCATGTAGGCGTGAGTGTGTGCATACAGGCCCGTATGTTCACCAGTGAGCCTGTGTGAGGGTTCAGACAACTCACGGAGGCAACTCCCCCTGTGCCCTCTCCCTCGCCAGCTCCAGGCTCTCCCTGGGCTCTGATCATCTGCTG